TATATGTATGTGTGTATATATATATACACACATGTATGTATGTGTGTATATATGTATATGTGTGTATATATATGTATATATATACACACACACATATATGTATGTGTATATATGTATATATGTATGTGTGTATATATATACACACATATGTATGTGTGTGTATATATATACACACATATGTATGTGTGTGTATATATATACACACATATATGTATGTGTGTATATATGTATACGTATATATGTGTATTGTGTATATGTGTATTTGACACATATAGCCGTTCAGGCTAAAGATATGTTTTGGTTTTTAAAAAAAGCATCCTCACTATCAAAAAGCATACTGGACTTGGTTATTCACCGTGTGTCTTCTGCAGCCTAACTTCATATATGTGAACAATTAGAAACAGGCAGAAAGAGTCTGACCTTGTTCACTGTTGCTTAACACACCCACCAGCATTCCAGTGGCCTGGAATGTGATGAGGATAACTGAATAACGTCCAAACACAGTTAATTCAACTCTGCCCGATGAACGAAGCTTGTCACACCAAGATGTTTCTTATGGGCACACGGAAAGAAGTATCTTAGTCAGGAAATATCAGTGTAGTTTCATTCGGTAGCTGTTTTTGCAGCACACACAGAAATGTTTTACAAAAAAAATCAAGTATAAAAAAAAGCTTGAAATAACCCTTGGCTTCGGTAGCTGTTTTTGCAGCACACACAAAAAAAATCAAGTATGAAAAAAAGCTTGGCCTATAGGTCAGCTATTATTCTACATGAAATAACCCTTGGTACACAATTAGCAAACCTCAAATGACTCAAATTTAATTTCAAAATCACAGCCTTCATGTGCTTATGTATATACAGTATACAGTGTGTGTGTGTATGTGTATATATATATATGAATAAATAAATATATATGATATAATAAATATTAGCCAACCAATATCGGAATCGTTAATTAAATGTTTAATCAATATCAGCATATCAGACATCCCATATATATATATATATAATTTTAATATTTATATTTTATCAACACGTTTCATGGCAGAGAAATATTCCTTGCTGTTATATTTGTTTTATTTTAAAAACAAAAAAAACAATGGGACGCCAATAAAGAATAAAAAAAAATGTTTCCTTTATATTTTATTTCCAATCACATCAGTAATACAGTAAAGAAAACAGGAGACAGACCTAAAAAAATCAAATAAAAATGAACTGAAAAAACAGCACATCCAT